ACTTGCGTTTGTGTATCATTCTTTGACAACCACAGTGAGTAGAGCCACCCACTGGACTGCTCTCCTGTGGAAGGTATATATTATCTATTTGTATGGTTGGGTAGACTTTCTCACTTCTTCGAGGAATATGCTAAAGCAGACTCAAGATGGGGCCGCTTCCATGACTGCACTGTTGCTATGGAAGTAGTAACTTCCCTCGTTTGGGGTCCAGTTGCTCTCCTGTGTGCCTATGGTGTTTATAGAAGGTCTGAGTGGAGACATTTTTTGCAACTCATCCTTTGTGTTGGTGAACTTTATGGAGGTTGGATGACATTTGGACCTGATTGGTTAACCAGTTTTGTGACCGGAAGTTCTGAACTGAATCCTCACAAGCACTGGATTCACTTTTGGAGTGAGTGGGTCACAATAGTTGAACACTTTTTATGCTAAATAAGCTTTAGTTTATTTGGTTTTTGCCAACATAGTTTGGGTTGTTATACCAGTTTTGTTGACTTGGGAGTCTTACAGAGTATTGGTGGGTGCTTGCAAAGTTAGTCGATCTCATCAGGATCCTTCGCTCCTTCTTGGCAGTTTTGGAGAAAAAGTGATCAGATGGACCTTGTATACTTTTGTTGGGGTCGTCCTTTTGTTTGGTTTACTCATACCTTTTAAACTTATTCCTGCTCCTGTTTAGTTATCTTCCCAAGTATCATCGATTTCGTCACTAGTCTCCTCCATATCATAGTTGCAAGTCTCTTGTTTGTTATTTTCCATCAACTATTTAAAGAGTGAACAAATGATGGGAACCAAAAATAAACTTTCTTGTCTCATATACCTTTTTTGCACTCAGCAAAGGAACAATATCGCAATAATATACTTTGGAACGAATATCATCCACCACGTTACGTTTCTGCGACCACAACTCTACCCTATTATTCACTTCATTTGGTATACATGAATAAAGATCACCACTACACAAAGTGACAATGTGAAGAGTCGCAACAACAGATTGGAATGGTTGGTTCTTACTGAATGGGTTGAAATCCTCTTTGCACAGGTTCTTTGTTATAGATTCTGGTTGCTTCTCCAGCTATGATTTGTGCACATTGTTGTGCCATTTCTCTATCCAACATACTGCTGTACCACTTTGCAATGTTATGAGCTTCACATAAAGCAAACATCAAATCGCTTATGTCACCAATATTGCCATAAAATTGATAACAATTTTGTATCAAATATCCGATTACTTTGTTGGTGGGCTCATCAAGTGAAGAGATGATGGAAAAGATGGAATCTTTGGGTTTTCCTTGTTCCCCTATTCGCTTGTTATGAAATATCTTTCCAATGGCATGACATATATCAAATGATGTATCTCGAGTGTCATCGAACATTCTGTCACAAGAACTTTCCCAATACAACTGCAGTTGAGAGATAGCCCAACGCAAGTCACCTCGACACTGTTCCACTATCAAAGTCAAAGCTTCCTTTTCCGGTAGAGCAATATTGTGAAGCCTACAATAGAGACTCGTAGCTTTTTGCATTTCCGTCTTAGTTACTGGATGAAGACTTAAACATTGAATATTACTCGATGAATGAGTATGTCTTTCAAAGGTTTTCGCAACAACAGAAGATGCCATCGAGTCACAAGTTATAATAATCTACTCATAAGGACAATTACTAAATGTACTTGAAAACCACTCTACTTACAATAGTCGGGTAGACTGTCTGTTCCGCTATCAACTCCAAATGGGTCAAAACTTGCTCCACATTTCTAACCCTTTTGGACATCACATTATCATCTACAACAACGACATAACGTGCAGAAGAACTTTCTTGCTCCAATGTAAGAGGTTGATATTGCAAACTGAGAGCCAAATCTTCCACCAAGTCTTCCACCTGACTCCTCTGAAAAGTATTTTCAAAAACACTACGAGTATCCCAAGATTTGGTTTCCTTGTAGAGATTTCCTCCAAAGAGACTTTGTTTCCAACGGATGACGTTACAACCCAACTCCTGTATAACAGTCTCCACAAGAGTTGTTTTACCACAGCCACAAGGACCCAATATGACCAACAGTTTCTTGTTATTTTTTCCGTCATCCCAACTCTCAATAAACTCGATAACTTTCCTTGTTTTGGTTTTTTGCACAGCTAAATTCTTTGAGTCAATGACGGTAGCAGAGTCATTCAACTCTTCTTGCATATGGTTAAAAGTCTTCCTTCTTTTACAGACGGTCACTGCTTTTCTCTTGGGAGGAGTCTCGTTATCACTAAAGTCATCCAAGGAGTCTTCTGAAAATGTCACCGATGGTAGATTCAAAGTCTTTGCGCGTTTAGTTGTTATTTCTGTACGAAAGTTGTGTTTTCTCATGAGGACTGAGCACAAAAGTGGTTGGATTCAAAATGTTATGGTGGCAATGGACCACCACCATGTTGTTTGTATTGGGTAAGTAACTGGAAAGACTTTTCTAGACATCTTCATATCACTCATCATCAGGATATCTAGCAAAGAAAAGTAAACCCAGAAAGATTTATCCAAATTCCAAAAAGACTGGAAAGAATGACTGGACAGTGTTATGGGAGGCAGTTACCGTAGCAGCTCGACTTCATAAAGGACGGTTCCATTCCTTTCCCATAAGGCAGCCCTATTTACAAAAAGTGATTCGATGTTGTGAGTTGTTGAGGCGTTATATAGAAGACCCAACTGTTCTATCCGCTTATCTATTGAGAGATGCTTTGATATTTCAACCAACAGCTATCTATTCTTTATCCGATATCTTTGAAACAGAGTTGCTGCAGTTGGTGCAAATCTTGATGGAAGAAAAGTCAACTTTGAACTCCTGTTTGGGTTCGCTTTCTCGTCAACATTCGGGAAGCACAGAAAGGAAAGTGAATGACAACGCGTTATCTCGAAGCAACTCCAATTTATCCTTTTCTTCACTTCATCACTATTCCACTTCATTGGCTTGTGCGTTGGACAATTCTTTGAATCATTCCTTTGGTGGAATTTATACGAGAGAGGATGAACTTGACAACTTTTCATCGGAAGATGATATCTCTTCACCACACAAACAAATAGAAAAAGAGATATCTGTTCTTTCCAAGTGTATTTTTTTATCTGAAGTTTTATTTCATTTATTAGAATGGAAACAGTTAGTTGAAGATGGTCTTATGTTTCAAAACTCTATTCGGTATTGTGAATATGCCCGAGAAGTAGTGGGCTTTATGCGTGGTTCGAATGTTCAACTCGAAGAAGAAATTGACCAACTCATCGAGCATATAGAGAATAGAGGGACCAACAGTTGAAAGAATAGTAATGACAATTGGATGGAATGAAACGTGAACTCTATATTGAAGAGTGTTTCATGAGATGTAGAAATTGTGGTTTCAATATGACAACTTTTAGTTGAGTGTTGAAAATATTGTGTGACAGAGAGAGACAGTATTGTGCAGTTTTATAGTTGTTCTATTTTATATGGTATGGGTTGTTGATGCTTCTCAAAGGCGTTGTTTTCACTTTCTTATAAAGTTCCATTTCTATGACATACCACAATAAGAGAGCCTGTCGAGATATTACAATCCCACTTGTGTCTCACAATGGGAAAAGAGATGAAAACGATTCCTATTCGCAACTTTTTCTTTCTTGTTCAACTGTGAGTATCACTGTTGGATACAACTTACACCATTTTCAGATATTGTGTAGTGTTTTTGAACCACCTGTAGCATCTGTGCAGCTTTTCACGTTCCGTACCATCTTACAACACGCCGTTAGACAAAGTTTCGGCACCGTTGCTGAAGCAGCCATCGTCTTGGACGTCATCCGTTATGACCCAACCACAGCAACTGCTATCCTTCATACGTTGGACTCGTAAGTATATTATTGTTTTTGAAACCATATCTGGTTGATCATACCCAAATAGGGATCATTCCACACTGTGGTGTGCACTTGCCATGTTTTCACAGTATGAACGACGCAAGTGTTATTTTTATATCCATGCAGCTTCACCTTTTCTCATTGCCTTAACAGCGCCTAGAAATCCTTTACGCTGGAACCGGTTGCAACTTGGTTGGGATGGATAGTGTGAACCCCATTCGACGCGCCCTGTTGTATATCTGTTGAAGAATTTCGTCGAAAACTCTTAGAGTAGGATTATCTTAGCTGCTAAAAGAGTCCTTCATAATAGAGTTATGGATTGCCAGTTTATCGTATTGGCAAAGGGAGATGCGGCTGCTTTTTATAATGAATAATATTACTATTCCTACATATGAATAGGACCAAGAATTTCTCAAGGTTTCATAATAACCTGAAAAAATTTTAATATTTACAAATCCATAAAACAACTATCATCAAGAAGACAATATCGATCCCCTGTCAACATATACTACCAATAGGAAATTTACTAGTGTCATATTTTAACGTATCTTGCAGTGTCTGAATAGCAACATAAAGCTCCAATCCAGTGGCCACTATTAAGAAAAACACCAAACAAAATACAATAATCGATTTCAAATGATATTTCTTAACAAAATGGCCAACCACCAATACACCTACCAAAGCTCCCAAAAATGTAAAGCCTGCATAGAACAATGCATAACGCCAAGCTAAACTACCATTCGCAGCACTCTCTGCGGCAATAGCACTACTTGTAAACAAATTAATAACACCACCAGTAAGTTGCACTACCAAAGGATCTACTCCAAGCACAACTAAAAGAAATCCTGCTGCAAGAGTTTCAACACTAATACCCACCCAAGATGCTACAAGTCCACATACAAAGCAAAATATACCATATAGAATAAGCGTTTTAGGAGTCCAACGAACATCTGAACGACAAAATAAATATCCCAGACGAACACGATGCTGATGCAGAGAATACAAACGCAACATAGTCACTGAAGATATAATAAGCAAGACAAGTTCAAGAATAGCTAATAAAAACCAATAAATCCAACCACACAAATGTACTCCCAATGGACTGATTATTCTGGGTTTCCCTCCTCGAAGTGCAACGAAAATAATAACAAAAGACCAAGTGGTCACTAAAAGCAATAAATCACCCCATTGAAATCGACGTCTTTCCGTTTTCAGCATACTGTCAATATCAGGCGATGACTTTGGAGGATGCAAATACGCTCCCAGAAATGGTATCTTTGCAAAGATGCGAGTGATTTGAACATTTGGAAGACAAGCACTACTACTCTCGCCATTTTCATTTCCAGTAGTTGCGTTATTATTATTATTATTATTGCGCTGACTAGGTAGATTCAAGTTGGAGTTGTATTCATCCGAATCATTCGTAGTTGTCCACGCATGTTCCTCACAAGTACCAGCTGCGTTACTGAGACTCTTCGAAAAAGAATTCCGTTTGGTAGCATTGGTATTATTCGAGTCTTGAGGATTTTGCGATACCAATATATCTGCCATATCGTAGTCTGAGGATGTTCCCGTGTTGCGCAAATCTCGTTCATGTAACTCGATTCTTCTGAGAGACATAGCCTTCATTGAAGTAGTAATCACCAAATAAATCAATATAATAACAACAACGAACGCTGTAAAGTATCCAGGAAGAACTTGGTTCACATAAGTACCGATAAAAGTTCCCATGAGACAAATAGGAACCATACTAGTAACAATCTCATAATACACTGCTGGTCTATCCCTTTCTGGATGTCTCTTGAGAAAGGCGATGGTACTTACAGCAACTGCCATTCCCGTTATCATAGATTGAGAAACTCCACCAGCCTGTGAAACTGCAAAGTTCAACATGACTTCCAAAACAGGAACAAATATGGGCCCGCCAGCAATTGCTCCAGCACTTGCCATAGCAGCTGCAACAAAAAATACTAAACAAGCCATTCCATCGCGAACCGTAAACGGACTTCCGAGCTTAACATGCACACAAACCCCTTCTTCACACTCCAGCTCAGGACCACAAGAAATACTAGAATTACAAGGGGTACCCACTAGGAAACGAGAAGTTATTTCTTTACCACTAGCTACATTAGGGTGATTCAATCTTAACGTGTTGATAGTTTCTCCCCGTACTTGTTCAGCTTGCAAAACAATATATATGAGGGACAATAGTATACACAAGAGGACCACGTGTTTCATAGTCAAATCCGGAACTGGAGAGAAGAGATTCTGGAAGGCATTTATTTGTCAAAAATTCTAAACAGCCTGGTACAGCACAGCACTTGGATATGATTGGATATTGAAAGAAATGTTGTACTTTTTTGTTAGGTTCAATTCACAATCCTATTAAAAGGTCCATTACATCTGATCAGTATATTGTCTAAATAACCTCGCTGCATATCTCGAATATCGCTTCAGAGTGTAACATCAAAATAAATATTATGACATAGACAGACAAAGAATAACAAATGATTTGCTTCAAGTCTTCTCTATTTCACTTTAACAATCCTTCATTCGTTATGAAATGCTTACTTCAATATATATATAATAGGCCCATTAACCTTTAATTTACTTGATACAAGTAGCCCAATGCTTTGTATTGATTATCAGTGGAAATGAGGATAAACACTCTTCTAATTCAAATTTTCTTATATTTGATTTCTGATATGGTATCTTTGGAGTTTCCTTATATGATGGCCATGCTATTGGAACTTTCTTTCATTTCCTTTCTATCGGTCTTCCATGAAGTTGAATATTTGCATTTCTTCATAAAGCATTGCTTAATGCTTCTAACGAGTTCCTTAACGTTGTGTTAACTAGGAGTGGAAATGAATTGTGACATCAGAGTATGAAACAAAACAACTCGTAGGAGTCTTGCTTGTTTCCGTTTAGAATAACCGAAATGCATTATTTTATTTGGCGTCAAGATATGATTTCCTTTAAAAAAATTCCAACACAAGTCATGCGAATAATAATAATAACTCGTCAAGGAACTCATTGTCTTGCAATTATACTTTGAACACATATACTTGGTCAACAAAGAATTGTGGATACATATGATTTTTAAAACCATATATGTAGTACTTGGCATACTTCATCATTTGTGGATTTGTCATGTTTTTCGTAAACTGTGCTAAACTCATGCGAACTCTTCGTCGTTCTCCAAACTATCTTATAACCCAATTGTCTGGGCGTACGGCGAGCATCGAGCATTTTACACTCAGTCCTCCTTTCACATGTCGCTGTCTCTTCGCTTTTATGTCTCAAGGCATCATAGAATTAGTCAACAGCTGTTAAAAAGGACTTTTTGTGTAGAAAGTAGTTCAAGAATTCCAAGAAGTGAAGAAAACGACACCTTTTCAACGCACAATGTAGAGACAGAAGCGCCAACAACAAGCACACACAAGGTTAGGCCTCCCTATTTATTATTCTTGCATCTTTCTCACCCGTATGACTCAGAATAATGTGGAGGATTCTGTTCCTTTCTATCGTAATCGCCCTGGTATTCAACCACTCGAAACACCAGTTGGTACTTTTAATAAGCAACAAGTGATTCCTAACGAGATTCACGTAAGCCATCTTCCTCAGGATATATCACGTTCAGAACTTGCTCAGGTAACTTACGCTTTGACGTTTTTGTCATGTTTCTCTGACTGTTTATTTAGCATTTTGGTCGCTTTGGAGAAATCACTGCACTTACCTTGACCAGCACTGGTATTCAGGAGAAGAATATATATGCTGTCATTAGGTTCAAAGATATTCGTTCTTGTGATGCAGCTTTATCTCTAGATGGCAAGTGAGTATACTTATTTTTCTGTTTTGTTATCTTTATTTGGAAGTAGATTGTTAGGTACGAAGACCTTATCGGTAAGGAGAAATATGAATGCGTTGTTTTTAGCACGCATGCATGAGAGACTCCGAACCATTCGTAGACGAAGTAGAGAATCAAATGAGTAGTAATGATATGATTATTATAGTTGTTTTCTTTTGCAACTATTCCGTCGAATTTTCCTTTTTCAACCTATAGTAGTTGGTGGTGGAAGGAGGGAATAGTAATAAGAATATAGGTATCGGAAGTGATCTGTTGAAGAGATAAAGTAGTATGTTCCTTTTGAATGAAATGTTTCTATCTTTTTGTTGGTTTCATTTTTGAAGCATGATGGGTACGATAAACAGTCGTCTATCTCTTCTTGTTGACGAGAGTAGGAACAAAATGCTTACTTTCTATCTTGGAATGGTTACTTCATAGAACATTATTTTGTATAATCGTAGAGAGAATACTCTGTATGTATCATTGTTGATAGTTGAGAAAGTTTTCTATTTGCAGTCAAACAATGTCTTAAGTGGGGCAAAAGAGATTCCTACAGATGGACGATATGAAAGATCACATCACCATAGATTCAACGGCAAAGAATACGGAAGAGCAACTACAGGAACAAACACAATATGAAAGAGTACTCGTTTCAGTTACAGGAAAAGATCGTCCTGGTGTTCTTTACGCTTTGCTTAAAACCGCAAACGACTTTCAAGTCGACGTGCTGGATGTACAACAGTCAACAGTTCACCGTCGAGTAACTATTGCAGTTGAGTTGGGCATTCATAGAAATTGCCCTAAACAGCTTTCCATATATCGACAATTGTTGATAGTTGCCAAAGAGATGAAACTTCGCCTCGACTTTCAGCTAACTAACTTGCCTGAAGGTCACTACTCTTCCTCTTTCATAGACGTTGCTTCATCGAATGCTTCTCGACGTCGTCAATATGCAATTACTGTGTTGAGTAGAGAGGTTATCACTCCCAAGTTTCTAGCTAACCTGGGAACTCTACTGATTGAGCAAGGATTATCTATGGAAAAGATTCAAAGGTTAAGTGAGAAGACCTTACAGTGCTTGGAAATAACGGTTTCCTCTCATGGCACCTTCGATGCCACATTTTTGCACGTCTTTCGTAAGAAACTATTTTCTCTTGGAAAGGAATACCAAATAGACATTGCTATTCAACCGGAAAATATAATGCGTCGAAGTAAGCGTCTCGTAGTGATGGATATGGATAGTACGTTGATTCAGCAGGAAGTAATCGACGAACTTGCTCGATATGCAAATGTATTTGAAAAAGTAAAAGAAATAACTTATCGAGCAATGAATGGAGAAATGGACTTTAAAGAAAGCTTAAGGCAGCGGGTCTCCTGTTTGAAAGGAACTCCCATTTCCGTTTTTCAGAAAGTTATTTCGAGTTTAAACTATACAGAAGGTGCGCGTACATTGTGTTCCACTTTGAAAAGGCTCGGTTATAAACTTGCCGTTATTTCGGGAGGTTTCGACTTTGTGACACAATATGTTAGACGTGAACTTTCATTGGATTACGACTTTGCTAATCAATTGGAGATCGATAGCAACGGTTGCCTTACTGGAAGAACTGTTGGCCCTATTGTTGATGCGCAGAGGAAAGCAGATCTTCTCCAAACGCTTGCTCAAATGGAGCATATCACTTGTGATCAAGTGATTGCGGTTGGAGATGGAGCCAACGACCTCCCTATGCTTTCAAAGGCAGGTTTGGGAATAGCCTTCAACGCAAAGCCAGCAGTTCAAGAAGCAGCCAATTTCCGAATCAATATAAGAAAGCTCGACGCTATATTATACTTTTTGGGTATTCCAGAAAAGGAACATTTATCTCTAAGTCACAACACTACATAAAATACAATTTCAAAAAAACATCAGCTTTCTCTCAAACACGGCAAGGGAATCTGTCTCGACAATCTCGTCTCTTTCCTCTGGTGGAGACAAAACGTCTTCAAAAGTTATTTCCTCGTCTCTTCCAAGTATCGTGTCTAGTCCAGGTTGAGTCGTTTGAAAACCCGGTAGTTTATGAAACTGTTTCAAAATACGGCGTTCAATATCTATTCTCAACGGTACTTGACTCCCCAACGCCAAAGCTACTAACTTGTGGCGTGTATACAGTTCTTCTTCAAAACTCTAACACCCTACTGAATAGCACATATGGAAAACCACTCACTTTTCTTACCTTTTCTTGAACTTGTTCTACTGGATGTTTGGTCTTTAAACAGTCTGGTTTGGTAAACTGTTTTCCTTGTAGCCAAGTATGGTCCATTTGTGACAAGTGTCGAGCATCCCAAAGATCCATCAACTACAAATGATTGATCATTGGTATGTGACTTGAATTTTATTACAAGTTGCAACGTTCTCGAAATTCTTCNATCATCAAACTCAATCCATCNCGTAATCGAACCTTTGGTTGCCAATTCAATAAGTTTTTGGCCTATCATAGCAAATCAACCAATGGCTTAAAATTATATCCTTTCCTATCATTCTTACCTTGGTAATATCTGGTTGTCTTCTNGTTGGATCNTCNGGTGTAGCTGCCATATGTACTATCTCNAGGTTNGGATTTACCATTTCNCGGACTATATGTGCTAAAGACTCTACGGTAAACTCTTCCGGATTNCCTAAATTCAGCGGACCAGCATGTTCGGAATTCATCATACGAATCATTCCATCCACTAAATCCGAAACATAACAAAATGAACGAGTCTGTTTNCCATCTCCATACAATGTCAAAGGCTTTCCTTCGAGTGCCTGTGTCACAAAGTTGGACACAACTCGTCCATCGTTTTCNACCATTCGAGGTCCGTAAGTATTGAATATTCGCACAATACGGACTTCCACACCATGTTGTCGTGAATAATCCTATTCATACAAATAAGAGACTTGACAAAACAAAAGAAATATTTCAATTACCATCGTCAACGTTTCTGCTACACGTTTCCCTTCNTCNTAACAACTTCTCAAACCACAGGGATTCACATTNCCCCAGTACTCTTCTGACTGTGGATGAACCTGAGGATCTCCATAGACTTCNGAAGTAGAAGCCAATAAAAAACGAGCTCCAACGCGTTTCGCTAAACCCAACATATTCATAGTTCCCAATACATTNGTCTTTACGGTTTTNATAGCGTTGTACTTGTAATGGACTGGAGACGCAGGACAGGCAAGATGATATATTTGGTCTACTTCTGCTTGATAAGGTAAGGTGACATCGTGACGAACAAACTCNAACTTGGGATTNTTNAGCCACCTCAAAATGTTGCTTTTCTTTCCAGTGAAAAGACTGTCTACCACAATAACTTCNTTGCCTTCTTCCATAAGGCGATCGACCAAGTGTGAACCAATGAAACCTGCTCCACCAGTGACTAATATACGCTTGTGATGACTGGGACGATTNGGAGCATAATAGCCGCGCCTTTCAGCAACAACAAGTCAGTACGACAAAAAACAAGTATTGCCATTGACTAACCACTTTGCTAAGTGATC